TTAATACCATAATCTTTTTTTTTTTTTTTTTTTTTTTGCGAGACAGAGTCTTGCACTGTTGCCCCAGCTACAGTGCAGTGGCATCATCATAGCTCACTGCAACCTCAAACTCCTGGGTTCAAGCAATCCTCCTGCCTCAGCCTCCAGAGTAGCTGGGACTATAGGCACATGCTACCGCACCCAGCTAATTTTTCTATTTTTTGTAGAGATGGGTGTCCCTCTTGCTCAGGCTGGTCTTGAACTCCTGGCCTCTGGCCTCAAGTGATCCTCCCGCCTCGGCCTCCCAGAGGGCTAGGACTATGAGTGTGAACCACCATGCCCAGCCAGTAATCTATCTTTACCACAAACAACGACACAATGATGTGGACTATCAGCATTATAGCATTTCCTCTGAAATCCCATCTTTCTCAGCCTAGTGAATACATCTTTTAAGTCATCCCCTGAGGAAGTCTTTCACAATCTCCTTTTACTCAGGCAGAAGTCACCCTTTCTTTAAATGTACATGCAAGAACTATACATATACCTCCTTTAGATTTCTTATTCCATCATATTATAATTACTTGTACTAGTTGGCAATTGTGTTTGGCTATCAGTAAGGGACATGCTATTTTCCTCTCACATAAAACAAATTCAATGGCAGGGAGATCGGGGTTCTCAGGAGAGCTTTTTTCATCTTTTTGCTGTCTTTCTTAGCATATGACTTTGGGCTTTGAAGTAGTCTTGATGCCACAAGATTGTTGCCATCACTCCAGCTATCACATCCATGTTCCAAGCAGGAAGAAGACCGAGTCAGCTCTGTAAATACCCCACTGCTAGCACACTAAGAAGGAGTTTTTCCCAAGAGACCCAAGTAACAACTTCTATCCACTTACCATTGGCTTCTACTTAGTAACTCTCATCTGCAAGGAGGGCTGTGAAATAAACTTTTTTCAGCTGGGCACAAAATCAGGTTTCCATTACTAACGAAGAAAAGGAGAAAGGAGTGGGATAGGCAGCCTGTATTATCTGCCTCATTTTCTTTTTTTAGCACGTTTCCTTAGATAGATGTCCAGCTCACAAAAGGTCGAGATTATGTCATGTTCATTTTTATAATCCCAGAACCAAGCACAGTACCATAGTTTGCTACGTTTATTTTAAAAATGATGTTATTAATTGAAAAAAGAAGAATGGAAATCTCAGTGAGTTATATGTTAGAAGGAAGAAGAGCGAAGAAAGGTTTGTAACAGGGGAGGGGAGTAGGTGACATTAGTGTTTTTTCAATTTGTATTGTCACTTATTCATTTAATTGTTATTTCAACTAATATTAACTGAGATCCTGGTCTGAGCCAAGCCCTGTGTCAGGCACCAAGGATAGATACAGAGATGAATACAACATTGTCCCTGGCTTTCAGAAGTGGGAAGGGCCGAGTTTAGAAAAGAATGGTGAGGGCTTTGCAAGTAAACAAGCAATTTCAGGGTAACATGATGAGAGTACTGAGGAATGGTTCAGAGACCTGAACCCGCAGTTTACTATGGGTGAAACACAGACTGGGAAAAGTGGGGGAGAAGAAGAAAGACAGGTGGGGCCAGATAATAAAAGACTTTATATTATATTCAGAAGTCCACAACTTTTCCTGCCAGTACCGTGCACCAATTTGTTTTATAATTTTCATTTCTATGGCTCCCCAGATGTCCTCATGAAGGGATTTCCCAACACTTTGCCCTTGATGGATTTTGACTCACTGACAACCCATTTCTGGGCACATTCTTGGCTGGTCTAGAATGTAGTCACGACCTGTTCCACGGGCCCTACTGAGCACGGAACAACCGTCTTCCCAGCATCGCGTCTCCCAGGTTGGTACTTCCTGGTGGGCCAGTTTGGGAAATGCTGGGTCTAGACACAAACATTCTCAAACTTGGCAATATGGCTCCACTGGATATCACAGAAGAGTCGCCGGGGATTTCCAGATGTAAGGACTTATCCCTATGAACTGCAGAGGTAAGCTAGGTTTTCTGAGTGTGTGCCAACACCTTGGTTTCGGTTGCATGGGTTACCAGATTGACACAGATTTAGTTGAAGCAACAAGCCACTGCTTCAGCGATCCTATAAATCCAGTTATCCCAATGATGATTTGGCAAGGGACGAAGTCACTTGTCATCTATTCCCACAAGTAATTCAGTTCAATTCAGTTCATAGCGTATATGGCTAGACACATATCCAAACCAATTCCTATTCTCAGAGAAAGAGATGCCCCCTCACCAAGAAGCAGAGGTGAGGGATATTTGAAGATGCCGTGCTGTTGGCCTTGCAGGTTTAGGAAGGAGTCTGCAAGCCAAGAACACAGCTGGCATCTAGAAGCTGGAAAGTCACAGAAACAGATTCTGCCTTTGAGCCTCCATAAGGAACAGAGCCCACACCTTGATTTTAGATTTCTGACTGCTGGGAATCATAAGGTAATAAATTCTTATGGTTTTTAGCTACTAAGTTTGTGGTAATTTGTTACAGTAGCAATGGGAAACTAATGCATACTTCCTAATACATCTCCCCTCCCTTTCAGTCCCACTGCTCTCCGCATTAGTCTTTCCCTTTGGATTAGCCTCTTTTCTGAATCCATTTTCTAGCTGTTTTCTTAAAAATCAAACCTTATCATGTCACAGGGTTTGAAGCGCATGAATACTGACCCTAGTTAGGCACCTTTCTGGGATATATCATTAGAAACCAGAAGTAAGAGTTGTTTACAAATTCCATCAAGGACATTTGGTGTGATCTCAGGAAGGCTTCACAGGGATGTGATGATAGCAAAGAAAGGTTAAAACAAATTGTACTATACTCTGAAAAAAGAATGCATTAACTAAATAGGCTAAGAGTCGAAATTTTTCCGGGTTTACTCAGCACTGGATGGAGGCAAATACACAGATAGCGGCAGCCACCAGTAAGGCATGGTAGGATACCTAAACAGGTGCCTGGATTTTAGGAAGGGTTTCTCCTAAATAGTGAATATGTTTATCCAATCATAGTAAATTTAAATGTTGGTCACATGACAGTTGGTTGTCATGAGTCTAGCAACTTGTTCATCTCTGGGCGAGTGGTAAAATTGAGGTCGGGTTCCTACTGGTGATCCACAGAAACTGGACTAGGGGTCAGCTACTCAGCAAGATTCTGAATCCTGGTTCAACAAAAGCCACACTGGTGCTTGCTATCACTAGCCCATTTCAAGCCTTCCACAAAACAGGGATGACTCTCACAACAAAGGAAAAGGGGAAAGTTCTAAGAAGGAAGGAGAGAGGTCAACACTGGCAAATGCCACAAAATGCACGACAAGATGAGGATTAAATTTTTCCATTAGATTTGGCAATTAGGCAGTGACTGATGTTGTTCAGTGGAGTGAAAGGTTGTCAACGGCATGAGAGGTTAGGAAACATTCACCTTAGGTCTTGACAACAACTTTGAAAAGAGTCTAGTAGGGTAAAGGCAGGATCCATGTCCTACAGATAAGTCTTTCAATCACATCCCCTTAGGTTTTGCATTTGGATCCCAGAAAACTCTTCTCAAATCCTCCAAATGTTGGTTTGACAAATTTGACAAAAAGTCTTAGCATCTCTCTTCTCAGTCTACCTGCGAGGTAGAGGAATTAATGAGCTGTGGAATAACTAAAGGTCAAAAGGCAAGAGGAAGAAACAAAGAGCCAAAAAACCCAAAACTCAAAACAAAACGAATCAAGGTTCTGAGTCAGATGAGCTGTAACAAGTTGTGATTCAAATTTAATACCCTTGTTTTGATGATTAAAAAAAAAAACACAAAACAAGTGTCTAGAGAATTCAAAGGAGGGGGACAATTTATAATTGCAATTTTTTCTTATATCTCATCCATTATCTGCACCCCCATCTCCCTCCAAGTTAATAGCTGTTGCTGAATTGTGGGCTTGTGTGAGCACAAGCCTGGACCAAAGACTGAATTTTGTCCAGTGACCTGATTAACTGCATGCCATTAAAAAAGAAAAAGTGAAATAGTGAAAACAACATACATTATCTGCATTTCCAGATGAAAGTACTGGTTTCCTTCCTTGATTATCTGCTATTTTTAGTGGCGTGGGGGAGGGAGACACGTACTTCTGAATCCGAGCCCAGTTCTTTCTAAACTTTAGTTACTCACGTCCGTCTGATTCATTCGCTATTTTTTTTTTTTTTTGCCTTTTTTTCCTCCCCTCTCCTGCCTCTGTCATTGCCCGCTGCTAAGAGGGACGCTGAATCACAGCCACTCCAGATGAAAAGCAATTCAGACCCAGTCCTCGGGGGCATGGAAAGGCTCTTTTTAATTTTTTTTTTCCGTCTGCGGAAAAAGCCTCCTACTTTCCGGGGTGACCGTAGAGGGCAGTTTTACGAGTCTCGGCCCCGGGCTATGGAAGATTCTGCTCGCTCCGGTCCTCTCCCCGCGTCCGGCTTTCTGGTCCCCAGGCCGCGGGGGCGCGCGAGGGGCCGGGCGGGCTGGCGGGGGGGCCGAGGGTCGCGCCGCGCCCGGGCCGCGCCGGGGGCTCCCACAATGCAGCGCCGCCCCGGTTCCGTTACGCCGTGCCCGGCGCGGGCGGCTGTAACCGGCGCCCCGCGAGGGGCCCCGCGCAGCTCCTCGCCGCGTCCGCCGCCGGCCGGCGAAGGGCGAGCCCCGGCGCCCGGCCCGGCCGGCCCCAAGCCGGCCCCGAGCCAGAGGCACCGGCCGCGGGCGAGCCGGCCGCCAACTCGCCGCCGCCGCCGCCGCGCTCGCCCGCGCGCGCCGGCCCGCTCGGCCCGCGCCCGCGCCTCGCCGAGCCTCGCCCGCCCGCCGCGGCGGCGGCTGCGCTGGGGCGGCTCCGCGGCGGCTCTGCGGCTCCCGCACCCCACCCCGCACCCCGCCAGGGGCGTCCGCGCTCGCCAGCGCCGGCCGGGGAGGCCGCGGGGAAGGCGCGGGGAGCCGGGCCGTCGCGGTGCGGGGCGCGCGGCCGGGAGCGCCGGGAGGCGGCGCGGGCTGCGCCGGCGGGGACGGGCGCTGGGCGGCCGCCGGGCTCCGGGCGCCGCCGCGTCCAGACCTCCCGGCCGGCGGCCTGCGGGGGCGGCGCAGTTGCGAAACTGAGTAAGTATTAACTTTACTTGGCCGCGGCGGTTTCTGGGCAGCGCCTGGGACCCCTCCCTCCTCTCCTGGAGCCTCGGGGCTCCCCTTTCCGCACCCCGTCTCCCCTCTCGGCGCCGCGGGTCCCCTCGTCCGCTCTCCCGCGCGGGCGCCCCACTTCCTCCGCGCTCGCCTTTCCCTGGTGTCACCCTCTGCGCCTTCTCCCCGCGCCTCGCCCGCGCCGCGCGCTGAAAAGTGCGAGCCTGCTCGCTGCGTCTCTGCTCCCTCCCGGTGTCCTTGGCGAGGAGTTTGGAGGCCACTTTTGTTGGGAAGGGAATTGCATGTCTGGCTTCTTTAATATTTTGTTCTCCAGATGGAAATCGGATGCTCGCTTGCCGGGCGGCGGTTTGGTGAACGCTTATTTATTTATTTTTTTTCCCCTACTCTGGAAAGAAAAAAAAATGATTGGTTTATGGGTTTTTAAATTTTATTTGAACTGTTAACCCATTCTGCGTTCCTATTCCCCCTTGCCGCCAGTCCCTCTGGGGAGGGGAGTCCAGAAGAGAGGACTTTCAAAGTAATTCTGTTTTGCAGGCTAGCAACTTTGAGAAGGTAAAAATCGCAGAAAGCCCGATAAGATGCAACTTTGAGGGGACGCGAGCTTTGAACGTGGGTCCCTGTGCGGCACACTAGGTCACACGAGCCGAGTACCTGGGTTCTCGCAGCCGGGTGTTGCGTTGTTATTTTAGCATCACAGAGCCGCCTGGTGTTGCTCAACCACTACTTTCCCAGCATCAAAAGGCATCTTGAGCAGTGCAGTCGTAGGACATAATTGCAGGTCAATACTGCTCCTGATCTTCGGGGATTCAGAAGGGAAATAAATGCAAAGCACGTTCCATAGTGACTTAAACCTGTCAGGTTAGCCCCGTCAATACATCAACGCATTGCATTTTTTAAAATTCCCCCAGCCTGGTGACAGCAGGGACGAACATGCATGGATTTTCCTGCAGATTGTGTCTCAGCGATTCATTAGATCTGTATTGTCCCCAGGAAGTGTCATTAAATATGTATACATCTCTGCTTTTTTGTTCTTTGTGTTAACCACGCATTTCTGGTGGGGGGGGGAGGTGGGGCTCAGGTAGTTTTTATTCTTTATTTTTTTTTTCCCCAAGGGATTGGCCTTTGATCTTTTTTAAAATTAAAAAAATTTTAAAGTCTTTCATCTTGGGGTTGCCAGGAGTTGCTATCACGTTACGAAGGAACAGAAAATGGGAAACGTTCTTAATGGGTCTTCCACATCCTGTCCTTTGCCTGGGTGAGGCAGTAGTGAATGCCAGCCAGCCCTCTTCGGGAGAGGTGCCAGGTGGGCGCAAGAATCAGGACGCAGGATCCAGCGTTGTCATGTGGGGAAGTGGTTTGTGTGAATTTTACGTTTTAGCAGGCATACTAATGGTATTATTTTTTTATTATTATTTATCTCTATGGGGAACTCTTCCAAAACCATCAAAATTATACATGACCATACCCCACTTTAAGAAAACTGAATATAATTCTATTGAAGGATCAGTCACAACCAAATATAATTTGTAATGTAGATGATACAATGTAGAGTTCAAAAATCCCCGCCCAGCCTCAGTTCTTTCTCCTTTTAAGAGTCTCCAGGTGGTACTTTCCATAACAGACACAATTGTCAGTTATGCATTGAGTTCTTTCTGGGTTCATTGATCAAACTTTATTTCTGGGCTTCAGTAGCTCAGGGGTGCATTAGAGAGCCCTGAGAGGGAGCAAATCATGAGTCTATGCAGACAGGAAGGGCATTTCAGCTTGCAGGAGTATCAGTGTGCTGCAGGGAAAAGCAGTTACAAAGAAGAGTGAATGTTTAAGTTTTAGGGTGCGGGTTTATGGCATTTGACATTTGGCTGAGATCTTTGGGAATTGCAGATTTAAAATTCTTCACAGTTGTGGTATCCTTTCTTTTTGCCTTCTATTATTTTCTTTTAGGTTTCAACTTTTTAACCTGAATCTTCAGTGCTTGGTTTTTGTAGCCTCTTGTACTTGGTGACTTGCATCAATTTTTGACTTGAATGCGTTGCATTTTGAGAATTGATTAGTTTTTCAGGGTTTCTTACTCATTAATCTGTCTTATGTTGACATATGTAATGACTTGGGTGTAAAAATATTGTTTGCTGCAGGATATTGTTGCCCTTTTCATCAGGGTTAATCCCTGGCATAATGGCTTTGCTCATTTGTTGTAAAACATTAAGGTCTTAGGTATCTTGCTAGTGCTCTAAACATTGCAAAACTCTTTGCAGCTAAAAATGGAGTGGGGATAGTAATTGGGTAGAAAAACACTATGCATCATAAATCCGAGGATTTGGATGTTAACACTAATGTAATGCCTATTTACTCTCCTTGGATGCTGGCTTACCCTAACCCTAAATAGAATTCAAAATTCAAAGTATAGAGATAATTTCCAAGTACTCTGTATAGCGGAAGGAATGTTTACCCCACAGCCAGCCAAACTTTGTTACTTCAGTGAGTAAATGTAGCCATGCTTGCCTCAATCTCAGTGATCTACAGTTTACTTTCTGGAAAATGAGAATACTTCTACTAAAAGCAATGCTGTGGTGAATAGAACATCTAAAATAGTGCCTGGCACATTTTAGACAGCCAATAAATGGCAACATCTCAAACTACTCCAGAACTGAGCTCTTGATCACCCAAACTTTTGAACTGTTCCGCCTCCATTTTTCATCTCAGCCACCCAAATGAGTGCCATTCCAAGAGCCATTCTTCTCTCTTTTCCATCAGCCCCACCAAACCAGCAGTCCATCCCAAAGTCCTGCTGTCCATTTATCTTGCAAAATCTCTTTCAGACCTGTCTGGTTGTCAGTCTCCACTATGCTAACCATCCTAATGCAAGCCACTACACATTCTTTTTCCCTGGTGAGGTGCTTCCCGTGCACACTCTGCACCCCTTACAGTCTGTTTTCCCACCAGCAGCCTGAAAAAGAACAAAAAAAAAAAAGTGACTTACTGTTTTGAAGTTTTCAAGGCTCTTAGGAAACATGTTTATTTTGGGGATGAGATACAAAATCCTCAACATGCTGTCAAAGTCCCTGCTCCCCATCTACATCTCTTGCCTGTACCTTGGCCAATTCTTCAGCAGAACGGCCTCAGGGCCTTTGCTCTTGCTGTTCTTCTCTCTATTTTAGGACCCTCTCCTTGAGCAACTTCTCAGCCTTGGACACTAGCCCAAATATCCTTTCTTATACAGATCTTCTCTGACAAGGCCACCTTAACATCCTTTCAATTGGAGCCCTTTTAATTTCTCCTTGATAGCCTAATCATCTTTTCCTTCTTAATATTTACCACACTTTATAATTACACATTATTATTTAATCGTTTAATGTCTTTCTCTTGCCCTTGAGGTTTATATGAGGTTAATAGGACCTGGTTTATTCACCAGTGCCTGGTATACATAGGTGCTCAATAAATATGTGTTGATACAGTGAATGAGATAATAATATCAGTTTTGTGTTTGTATCTCGATTGCCTTCTTTGTCACTTAAATTAATTTATCACGACAGAAAAGCCAGACGGGCCCTCTCTTATGTTCCTTCTTTGCTGGTTATATGTATAACATGAAACAACCTTTGCTGATACCAGGCGAAATTAATGCATTTAGGCTCTGTGGAAGACTCATAGTTAGTAATAAATTGAGGTACCTTTTAATTAGTGTGGCCCTGTGACTTTCTGTTGTAGATAATCCTTTTTCCAAGTACATCATTAAAATAATGATGCTATTTTTCATCAGCACAGGATTACTGAAGGGAAAAAAAAATCTTACTTTGCCATACTATTTTACACAGTGTCACATGATAACACATTAGTTAGCTGCTGTTAACTGCTCAGTGCTAGACTTCAAAGGAAGGTTGGGAAAACTGTCGTAGAAAAATGGGAGTTAGAGTTCTAAAGATGTTCAGTGCTGTCCGGCTGTTGATGTGACTTGCATAATAAGTAGATATCATTTGACCACATAGTTAAGGGAGAGGAGTAGTTGTTTAAAAATGGGAGCCACCTAAAGGTCTGGAAGTTCTTTTTTTTTTTCTGTCTCTCACCAAAAGCATTCCTTCTTGTAGCCAAAAAAGTCTCATGACCAGCCCAGGCCCAGGAAAGCTTCAAGCTTGGTTTGAGTATTTTTGTCTTGGGGTTGCTCTTTATGAAATGTTAGTTTGATGTTCCATAACTCTGAAGTATTTACATCTCTATTGTTGATGTTTGGAGTCTCTGCTTCTTAATTACTCATCTGTGTTTTTCTCTTGTTTTTTAGGACTTTAGTTTTCCTTCAGAATTATCCCCTCGCACCCTTACAGTGTAATTCCTGTTCTTTTCTGGTTTTGTGTATTGTAGATCACTAAGTATACAGGGGACTTTGGAATTGATTCTGATCCCTTCAGAACTTAACTTCTCTGCACTCAACCTCTGGGTTTCCCCAGACTGTGACACGCCTGAGCGGTCTTGCTGGCCGAGGATGAAGGTAGCATTTCTGAGCTCCTGCTGTGTGCCAGGGCCTGCACTAGGTGCTCTCAAAGGAGGAGTGAGTAGTTTACCTGGTCAAAATTGGAAAAGGGAAGCTTAAGCTTTCCGTACGTTGGCTTCTCTTTGGGAAACTGTTCTTTCTTGTTCCCTCGTTACCCCGCCCCTGGTTTTCTAGTCAGGCAGGCATGGGAAGATAGAGAAGCCCCTGTTAGCCACGAGGCTAATTGAGATCCAATTTTACCTGTATAAAAATGTTGAGAGTGAGGCCTGAGAGGGACACACCAGGTGATCTGCTTTGTGCTGGGCGTCTGTGCCCGCAGGACATTTGCATCTGGAGGAGAGAAAAGTTATGGTTGGGAGCCCTTGTTATTTTTTTTTCCTCCATATATATATATATATATATATATATGTCCACTGGTTACTTGGGTGACCTTGAACAAGTTGCCTGGAGCTTTTTAGCACCAATAATATTTGTTACCCAT